ATTGAAACAATAAATCATTTAGAATTATTAGGTTGTCCCGAAAGTTTTGTCCGTTTTTTTCATCGCTCGCTAAAACTCACAGATCATCAACTGATGGACATGTTGAGTGCAACTTGTTTCAGATTTTTATTTTTTTTCTTACGGTTATATTTGCTCGCTGATCTACCCTGTCTTTGCAACGTTATCGGCATGGTTTTTTGAGCATCTCAACAGTAAGACAAGTCTTTCCTGATTTTTAAAATTTTTATCCTAATTCAAAGAGCGCTGGTAACTGTTATGTAGAGCAAACCTTTGGCTACATTTTACCCATTTTAGATTACATGATACATGTTTAACAAGTCCGTTATAATTATTTCTTTAGTAAAAACCGCGACTTTTTGATTACGTTTACCACGTGGATGTACCGAAAATTCCAAAAAGCTGCTTTTTGGAAGCAAATCAAACTTGGTTCTGTTGTATAAATAATGTTCAGTGAGAACCAAGTTTCAATTTGCAGAAACTTCAGAAGCTTTCGTGTATTTGCTGTAACTGCGTGCTTCATGACTTCGCCAAAAAGAGATCTCCGAAGAAATAATTTTTTGAAGCTAAAATCAGCAGATCAGGAGAATACAAAAATACTACTTCGTATCCGAGAATTGCTCTATAATAGATACTTAATTCTTTCCGAAACGTTGGAATACAATTTTAAAAAATTAGCCCAACTTTGAGCAGATAAAATTGATGGCTGGAGAATTTTGGCAAATATCAAAAAAAAAAGATACAAGATTGTGGTTCTTAAATGCATCCTTCAGAAGGAGAAGGAAAAGCTGCATTGAATGCATGTTGAAGCTCATTCAGGTCTTTATTGTGCACTGTTTTATAGAGGTTTGAAAAAACGGACAAAACTTTCGGGACAATCTAATATAAAAGTCACTTGCACATTTATGAAGCTCATATGTAACTTTCAAGAATTCCCCCTCGGTCCACCTTGTCTCTGTGCTGTAAACAAGTCATTCCTTTTGAACGATGGATACAATGACTTTCTTATGCCATGAGACAAAGGACATATAGATTACAGTCATTCTTATTTTCATTCAAATTGCGCTTGATTTGTTACTCAAGACGGTGGAGCATGTCAGTCGTGTAATAACACACTATAGAAATGTGTCTGTGTTCGTCTGAGTGGGTCGCTTGCATGCCTATGTAGCATATTTTACCATACATCCTTACCCAGGAAGGTCAAAATATTGTTTATAATTGTTTTTAATTGTTCAAGTCTTCAACAGTCTAGATATAGTGTCTCAAAAGTGAAGGTTATTTGAAATCTTACGCCTTATAAGTAAAGAAAGTCAAAGGAGAGGAAAAGATGAAAACTAACAAGGGAATGGTCAGAAGTCGAAGTGGGCAAACCAAACAATCTGTATATCATTCGATGCAGTATAAAACGCTTCGAATCTGTCTTCTGTATCTGCTTCCCTTGTAGCTTCGCTTCTGTGGACGAAGCTACAAGCGGTTTTATTGTGAAAAAATCATACATAAAAACAGCGAAATTGAGCACATTGTTGCACTTTTAGCTCGGCTTCTGACTTCAAAAATTTTAAGAAAGCTTGCTGCATGTTTTGGCCCAGCAATGAGGCGAACGATGCTCTGTACGACTAAATTTTCAATTTCACGCATAATTTCTAAGCAAAATAATGGCCTTTGATGGCTTATAACTTCGTCCAGAAAAGCGATAAGCAGATAAAGAAGACAGATTTAGAGTCAGCGCTTCATGCTGCATCTAACGCTACGCAGCTTGTCTGGAATGGCCACTTCGATTCCTGGCCATTCCCTTGTAAGTAACAAAAGCAAGAGAAACTGTTGAAGACAGGGTGAAAATGCACTTTGAAATCTTTCTTAGGGCGGTAATCCGAATCGCTGGTTTTCGCTCCACGACCCGGCGGCTCACAACTCAGGGAGGGAAAAAAGTGGTCCGTTTTTTGCAATAGTTTCAAGTGCAATCAAGGTTCGAAAATGTCAGATGAAAGGGGATGTAGAAGACTAATTATGGAATCAAAAAGTTCTTGTTTTCCTGAAGTTAGAATCTGTATCAATGCCAATCTAACTTTTGATGCCCCCTTTGAATTTTCCTCCCCCCTTTCTGTCGTTTTTATTTCCGGCGACGTTGTCTGGGCTGTTTTGCTTATCATTCTGATTGAGGAACCCTCAAGCATGAAATTGGTTTCATGCTCACTTCAAAAAGCGCTATAAAGAAGTCACTTTTTGCAGCTTTATACCAAATATTTCGCTAAATAAGGCTAGTTCAAGAAAAAGGCGATAAGATTTTTGACATAGTTTTTGCCAGTTTCCTTCGTGAAATCAAAAAAATGGGTTGACGACGTTGTCAGCATGAAAGTATTAGGTTGGTGCAAAAATAATGGCCGTTTCGCGCATTCTCACTTTGACGTGCTTTAACTTTCTGAAAAATCCACATTTTTAAATGCGGTAAAGACCATCTGTAGCAGCAAACCTTGCCCAATACAGCGCACATTTATCTATACTCATATCATAAACGGGCAAAAAATATGGATCAAAAAACGAGAAAGGTTCTTTTCTAAAACCTTATTTTTGACAATTCATAGCTTCCTTCAATGTTTATTATTATGAAATGATAAGTGGCCTATCTTGTAGCCGCAAGCCAGTAGTACAAAATAGCATGAAAAGGGTTTGGAGGATAAAAGCGAAAAGGAAAAAATTTAAAATTCAAAATTGTCACTTTTTTCAACGTTTTTTCAGTATGCCTCAAAATCCCGAATACAGAATTTCCCAATTTTTCTGCTTACTAAACAGCTGCATGCTTTTGCAAAAACTGCTAGTAGGATGCACTAACGCTTACAGAATTGAGCGAAGCTTCGATGATTGACTTCTTCAAAAGAAATTTATGGGTCATAATATAACCGCAACGGCTACCCATGTTTAGGCGCAGATATCTCAGTTGGAATAACTTCAGAAAATACAGTCAAGTGTGCATAATCTAGACAACTTCTATTACATACAATAGCTAAATTTTTGAAGTAGCGCCATTCATACGCGCTCGATGGCCAGAAAAGTGAATTCAATAAAACTCTGGATTTGAATTCGATTATTTGGAGCTCAGTAACTTTATAACAGATGAGGATGGAAGCCCGCTTCGACCACTATTAGATAGAGCATGAGAACAGCTTCTCAGCGGTATGCTACATATATGTATCAAAAAGATTTTCTGACGGAAAAAAGTTGCCCTGAAAAAAGGCTTGGAAAGTCGGCCATTATTTTTGCACCAACCTAATAAAAGTCAACAGCTCTTTGCTAAAATGTTCACACCGACGATGAAAATGGTACCAGAGCCAAATGCCTCGTGCAGCGCGTTGAGTAGCGAGGTTAGCGCAGTTTCTCGTTTCTATTGAACTTCAACAGCTTTCGTAAACTTTTGAAACTCATTCATAGTCTGAAAAGAGATTTTATGAGAAACGTTGTATTTACACCAAAATCTTTTTAGCACAAAAGAACTAAAACTCATTTCGGTTTTGCTGGGTTATTTTTGAGATACTACTTACGATACTCACTTCATTCACAATCATTCCGATTTAGTTATGAGTAACATCCGAGGCTTTGCCACGAATGACTTTTAAGGTAGAGGTTGTGTAAAGTAAATGTTGTGTAAAGGCTTTTATACGTCGCTTAGAGTGAAAGTTACCAGAGTATTTGGTTTTATGTATCGAGGCTTTACATAAGATGTCTACCAAAGTAACGTCTTACACATAATTAGTTTTCTGTGACTCTCTGCACCATCGGCCTCTACGAAGATTCCAAAATGTGTCAGGTCTTGCGGATTGTTGATGTTGAAGCCATGCTTAAAGCAGCGTCTCGATAATTTGAATATAAAAATATGCCGCTTCGTGGACTTATGCGTCCCGCTAATTCCAACTGTGCAGCTTGCAGAGCGTGAAAATGTCGAAAAAGCTCTATCTTTGAAGCCCCCAGAGTTAAATTAGGACGTGAGAACCCGATCCCCGCCATGGCTAAGATGCAGAGTCTCTATAGGACCCTGTGGTCATGCCTGTATGCGCTGTACGCGTTCCAACCTTGAGAGTTTGGAATCGCTGTGGAGACGGCATCCGATCCTACCGTGAGATACGGGTCATTTTCGGGGTAAATTTCAAGCTTGACAGGCCCCCCTGGTCTGACCTTAGCCCGGCAGCCTCACCTTGCCGAACCGCTGCCTTTGAACTTCAAAGAGTTGTGAAGCTGATGATATTGATTATTCCACATTTTTTGGATTTATCATATCAAACAATCTCAAAAACCAGCAGTCAACTTGCGTAACATATCTAATACACCCCAGCGGGTGCCTATGTACAGTAAAGTAAGTGCATGCGGATTTGCTCCGGAAAATTAAGCAGTTTGCAGCCGCCTTTCAAATCTTCTATGAGTAATACATACTCGCATCAACTATTCATTTTTGCCACTTGTGAATAATTACAACTGTGCTACAAATATTTTCCAGGAGCTCTTGATTTGCTCCATCAGACGCGTAGACTTTTGTCGCTATAGTGGCTTAGCTTGTATGCGGATAGCGGTAAATTTTATTTCTTGGCAGGCGAACTCGGTAAGCTCATCAGTGGTGAGGAAAAAGTGTGTGTTTGGCATTGTCATGCTCTCAGGCTACCATAACTCATTTATCCACTGATTCACAGTGGTGTTTGCGTAAGCAGTTTTTGGACAACTGCAATTCAAATGCACCAGTAGTCAAAATTTTGAAATCTCTAACAAAGTTATTTCAGGTTGTACCATCAAGTTGAACATGAGTTGAGAACAACGTCCAATATTTTTGACACTAGTAGCAATTGCAGAAATTAGAATGGTTTCACGATCTATAACTTTAAAACGATTTGCCCAACAGTGCTCCATGTAGACTATCAAACCATGCAAAACAATATATGTTTCGTTCAAAGCATCAAGCTTCATCTTACTCGGTAAGCGCGAAGCTAATTCAGACCTACCTTCCACTGCGGAAATTGCAGAGATTATCTGAAAAACGCACTTTCATGTAAGCTTTAGATGAAGTGAAGGAGCACTCTCACCACAATAGCAAGGTATTGCATCCGTAGCATTGTGATACACTGACTTATTGGGCACCTCTTTTATACAGTCGGTGTGAGGAAGGCAGCGTATCGCATCATGATTATGACGCCAGCTATCGATGACTTTCAAATGTTAGCATTTTGATTTTTCATAAGTTCACTTGCGGAATATTTCCTGAATTTATACAGTAAGACCCTTGAAAATAAAACCTCATTCAACCGGAAAGTCTTATGATTCTAAGAAAACTGTGCATCAATATTTCAACAAAGACCACTCATAGGCCTTTTGCCCAATAGAAATATGGCAATGTAGAGCTATCATTGCACGTTCTCTGAAGCGATTATTGAAAATGAAAAACTTGACTAAGAGCGAAAATTCCACTTGCACACATCATCTCTATCAACAACACGTTTTATTTCTTAACATCCTGACTATTCTGTCGAGTTCCCCTAGGGACCGCGGAAGGTCCATTGAAGAATCAAAGAAAAACGGATTTTTTTCAAAAATACGAATATATTTGAAAATACAGATGCTGAAGCAGAGTTCTGTAGATTAACTTAACATGTATAGTGTGGACCCCGGCCAGCTTCCCATAGGTACCGCGCGACGCACCCGCAACGCACGCCTTCAATGCGTCTCCTGTCTTAGCTTCTAATGGAAAACCTCCTTTCTCTCTTTTTTTTTGTTTTTGGTGTACTATATTCCCTCTATTTCAGGTATAAACAATTCGCGATGACCGGTGACGAGATTTCACGTGCTCTTATAGTTCTAAGAGCTTCAGTCTTGTGTAGTAGTCTTGTGTTTTCCCTTTTTTCTCTGAAAAATTGAGATTTGATTGGATATTAAGATAATATTCTTTCAAAAGCTTCTTGTATAAAATAAGAGTCCGTTTCGGTTTGATGTATAAGGTGTAGACAGTGTCTCGAGTCAAAATTTGAGCCTTCTGAAAAGCCACTAGGCATTTGTTTACTGAAATGTCCACTTTTTTGGAATCTTTGACCCTAGTTTCTACGTCTACGAAGGGAAATGTTTGAGAATGCTGTTGTTCTTTAATTTCTTACGTATACTTATTACAATCTATCCGTCAGTGCATGTTCGGAATATGCATCCATTAATTGAACTTGAGGTACTCCTGGAGGTTGCCTGCGTTTCATTCTTACATATGTCTCTTTCGCAGTGAACCTAGAGGTTTCCACTTTACATTTTTCTCCTTTGTGAGCATAAATATGCTCTACTGCTCATGAGTGAGGCGGGAGGCATTGAGAAGGGCGCGCGCTGCGTGCGCGCTGCAGAAGTACCCATGGGAACCTGGCCGGGGTCCACACTATATTCGTCTAGCGTTACCGCTAGATGTGGATAGGTGAAAGGTCTCATGATTTTCTTCAGATAATAACGAAGTACATATTCTGTCATTTCCGTACAGTGGCATCTTTATCATATTTATAGTATTGTTCTTAAACAAACCAGTAAATGGTTAGTAAACAATAAAGCATTGTCACCACATACAAAAAAGCTTTATAAACACTTTCTAGCTGTAACTACTTCGTTCATTGTGTCCGATAAATGGCACACGCAATTACTTCAGAGTTTAAAGTTGTGATCGATTCCCAGTAAATCTAAACGTGCGAACGATGTTTGCAGCGCAGTATGGTTCGCTCTCTAGCAGAAAAGTATGCGCGAAAACATAAGACAAATTTCCTGAAATTCACGGCACAGTTTAATTACTATTCAATTTCCATCCTCTCAGCACGCTTCTCTTATGCTTTGATGCAAAGGCTGAAGTGGTGTCCTTCATCGTATAATCTGTGTTACATTAAGTTTGACTTGTGCTTTGTGCTAGTCTTACACTTCACTTATATGGCTAAACCTTTCGTAAATACCCTTTTCGAACATATTTTGGAGAAAAACGGAGAGACGAAGTAAGAATAGTGAATGTGACTGTCAGGCTTTTTCTCCGCCAAATACTGAGCTCAAGATAATCTTTTAAATTTGGCTACTCTTTTTTACATGTATTTATGAACTTTTCGTAGAATATTTCCTAAAAAATACATAATTGGCTTTGGAGGCTTTTCTATTGGTGATCGATCTAACATATGTAGATCACCAATCAATGAATCCCAGGAGAACCCCTAACCATCATAACGCTCTATTGATATTTTCATACTCAACGGCAATTGATTTCTTCAATATTTTTGATCGTTACATGCGAAGTAAATCCATAGACTTTCAAAATGGTTGAAAGATTTTGTTTCTGATTTACTTTTATTTCTGTAATTCAAAGCCTCATGACTTACGGTGCGAAATCCCGCAATGCTCTAAAGAGTGGACGAACCTAAATTCAAATTCCTCGTACTTCATTGCATTTGCCGCTATATTTTGAACTAAAAACATAATAAAATGCAGCTACTTCCAGGTCTTCCAATTCTGGCACTGCACCTCACTGGACCCCTATGGGCTCTCAGGAGCGATGTGGTAGGTATTCTTCAAAAATGCATGGTACAAGTTATCTCCAAAAATGCATGATATAAGTTGCTAACGAAGTTTCTGTCGATGCTTTTGCTGTCGAATATATCCTGACGTATATTTTGACGTTCTATCTTCACATTTGAAGTCTAGTGCATTTCCTTCTGACAAACAAGTATCCTCTATTCACCGTTTTCATAAGTGGTGCTTGTTTTCAGTGACACTTCACTTCTGCTGTATTAGCTCTTTGTTCTGCAACTTTTGCGCACTTCCCTTGCGGTCCTAATTATAGGTGGTGAATTGGTTTTTTTTAATCAAAATGGCAGTTTCAAGGACTTTGCGGATTGCGAAATCTAGCCTAAGCTTTAAAGCAATGCTCCATTAGCCTATTATATATCTTACTAGGTTCTGATGCCTTTATCTTTCGGCCTTTGCACCCTGAGACGACACAACAATTACTATAAGCTAACATTCGCGATCCAGTTGCTTCTTCGTAGTCATGGGGAGGGGGGGGGGGGGGGGCGGGGTTCAAATTATAGCGATTTCGAGCACCTATATAGCTTAAAGAAACTTCTAGGCCTGGGCTGTATGTCTGTTTTTATATGGTCCATGTCCCTATGGGAATCGCGGATAGGCTGAAAAAAGACACGAACTTTGGGAACCGTTAGGTAGATTTGTGAATCGATTTGAAAAAAATTTAGACAAAAGGAAAAGAAAGCTGTGAAGTTGCTGCAGTAAAGATTTATCAATCACAATCGTAAACATAGACTAGGCGTACATTGCCACATCTCATTTCGATAGCAAAAATCAGATTCGAAATACATAGCCACAAAGAAGGAATAGCGCATGGGACCAAATGCAAACGGATGTTGTTCGAATCCTATTTTCAAAAGATATTCTTGCTTTACGTTTTCGGTACCCTCTTTAAAGGCAGTGTCCGGGCAAAAAGTCGATTTTGAGATTTTGTGCTTATCCGGGCCTATTCGATATGCTGAATCCGAAAATCCACACTGGAGAGTGCGAAAACGGCGAAAATGGCTTCTAACACTGGAAGGAAATCAGCAGGTGGGCGGGGTCTTCCCCGCTGTGGATTCACGCTCCCAACTTCAGGAGCGATCTTCTCGATCCCGCTAGCCGCCCACACATCTTCACCGGCCAAGTGCAAAAACGTGACTTGAAATTGGAACCGATAAGATTGCTCCAGAAGCTGGGAGCTTGAGTCCACAGTAGGGAGGACCCCCCCCCCCCACCTGCTAATTTCCTCCTGCATTAGAAGTCTTTTTCGCCGTTTTCGCACTTTCCAGTGTGGATTTTCGGATTCAGCATAGCGAATAGGCCCGGGTAAGCACAATATCTCAAAATCGACTTTTTGTCCAGACATTGCCTTTAAAAACAGCCATTGCGATAGCAACGCAGAAAGAAAGTTTGAGTGCTTTTTGCTAACAAGGGAAGCTTGTTTCGTCGAAGTGGCCTTTTCAAAGGGGATGTATACCATATTGAAGAACATAAAGTGCTGGTTCCAAACCTGCCTCCCTTATCTGCAGAACGTTTATGTGCGAGGAATTGTGAGCGTTTTCTGGGCGAAAAATTGAATGTGCATTTGGATAAAATGAGTTGCTAAAATCTTACTGGACCTCAAGTGAAGCAACCAAATGTGATATATTATTTATTTCAAGTTATTTTTTGAGTTATTTCAAGTTATTTTTTGAGTAAAGTGCTCTGATGGTTGTCACTGCTCCACTGAGGAGCTAGAAAAAGTATTCCGGCTATTTTTGTCCCACTTGCACATTCGGTTTTTTGCTTAGTAGCGCTCCTAACTGGGAGGCGTGCAAGTGGTACCCGGGCAGCCGACTGCTACCGCAGCCAGCCGCTAGAGCTGCCGGTAAAGCGCTGCAGATGGTACAGTAATTATGCTCGTAGTCTAAAACTCTTGCCGAGAGGTTTCCTCGCACCTCGTCGCTCGGTGCGAAATGAGCCTCAGTAAAGCGTGATATCCTTGATATCATTTTGAACAGCAAAAATTTTATGTTTTTTTTGAGAAACACGCAAATAAACAAAGGTGATTAGAGGAGGGTTTTTCTAAAAGAAAATGATCACAAACAATTACTTCAAACATAAAGGAAGCAGAAGCTGAAAAAAATTAGAAATTTTCAAACTTCTGGAGATTTTTTTTCGCTTCCACGTCGAAAAATGGATGAGAACAATTACAGGAAAATGTCATGCTTATAACGGTAAGAAAACTGTGTCAAAATGGTTATTTCATACATAGTGATGTTAAGCGAGCTTAAGGCAAAATAGGTCAATCAAACTGAGTAGGTCAATGATAGCGTGATATCCTATCCTCACCATCTATATCATTCAGAGAAACAATTACAAAAGTGGATAGATGGGAAATCAAACATTTTTTTCCGTTAAAAATGTTGAAATCAAAGTACCACAAAAATTCATTGACGCTGTAGTTGTAAGGATCTTTGATTTTCCAACAATGAAGTATTTTTAGAAATCAAATCCACTTTTTTATGAACACTTCAGAACTCGAAATGCGAGTTGTTGAAGAATTATCAGAGGTGGTTCTTTCAGTTTTGAACTTTTATTATATGCAGTGAGTTGTGCCTTTTATTATTTTCATTATTATTTTTTTATTTTCTCAAAATACCTGGAGAAGTGAACTGTCTAAATCAAAATAGTACATGCTTCTCGGTGAGTTTCCGTTTCATATCAGCAAATGTGGCATGTTTTCATCTTTTATCATTGACCTACTCAATTTGATTGACTTACTTTGCCTTATTTAGCTCGCCCAACACCACTATGCATGAAATAATCATTTTGTTCTTACCATTATAAGCATGACATTTTCCTGTGATTGTTCTCGTCCATTCTTCAACGTGAAAGCGAGAAAAGTCTCTAGAAGTTTGAGAATTCCTAACTTTTTCAGCTTCTACTTCCTTTGAGTTTTTGAAGTGATTTGAATTCGTGATCATTTTCTTTTGAATTTAAATTTCAATTGTTACTTGTTAAATTTTCTTTTAAAAAACCTCTCCCCTGTTTGTCTTTGTTTATTTGCATGTTCCTTAAAAAACATGAATTTTCTGCTGTTCAAAATAATGTAGATATAGAGGATATCGGGCTTTCCTTAGGCTGATATCGCACCTCAGGCGACGAGTGCGAGAAAACCTCCCGGCAAGAGTTCTAAACGACGAGAGTGGTTACTGTACCATCTGCAGCAGCTTTGCCGGTAGCTCTGGCGGCTGGCTGCGGCAGCAGTCGGCTGCCTGGGTACCACTTGCTACGCACCCCTCCTAACTTCCTCACCATAAACGTTCGCAGATAGGAAAGGCAGATTTGATATCAACTTTCACGCCCTTCAATATGGTTACATCCCATCTAAAAAGGCCACTTCGACTAAACATGCTTTCCTTGTAAGTGGCGCATTGATTTTGCACCATTTTACAATGCTGCCACGTGCTAAAGGGCTATGTTGATCACTACAGTTTTCTTAGCGGAGCACAATCCAGGGTCTGTGCAATTTCTTTTGGCGCACTCCGTACATGGATCACCACGACTGTCGTCCTGCTTAGCGATGTTTGCTCTAAATTCGTTGTTTTTACCTATGCGATGAACAGTCACAAAACTTACATTGGTGAGTAGCGACAAACGACCACATAATGTAATTGACACTTTACTATGGAACAGCCCAATTTTGATATGTTGGCCCGTATTATCTAGAAGATTCTTCTCAAAAATAGCAAAGCTATTAGGTCGTTCCATAATTTCGTAGCGTTTTTATAAACCAACAAAATCATCAATTTACAGTAAAATCAATCAAACTCTTAATCCTCGTTGTAGCGCACGACCTTTTGGCACATTCTTGTTAGCTTTTCAATCTCAATTTTTCAAACCGCAGCGCGCCGGGTCCCAAGAAAGTCATCTAATCAGCGCTCAAACTACTTACTGAAATCGAGACATGCACTATTCACGAAGTTTGCTAGAGAGCGGAACAAATGATAATTTGATAGAGCGAGATCTGGAGAATACGTTGCGTACTGAAATACTTCCCAGTCAAATCGTGCAGGACAGTTTTGACGACGTTTGCCATGTTTCTGTTTGTTGGGCATGTTTCTCATGCAGAAAAACTCACTAAATCTGTCTGTTAGGCTTTTTCTGCGGTAGGACCTCGTTTAGACGATGCAATTGGATTGCTTACGGTATGGTTGACGATCGCCTACTTGTACCGCTATTTTCAGTGCAGGACTTCCTACCCGTTCCCCGAAAATTCTTGTGCAGGGACACCTGCTCAGCCCCTGATCTTATGTAGCAACCCAATCCTTTTTTGTCTCATATTGATGTGCGAGCGCCAGTTCCAAAATCTGTATGAAAATCCGTGCAAAAGCGCTTCTTATCATAAGGAAAAATGCGTAAATGCCGAAATTTCTCCTTTTTGCCTTTCAAGGTTTCTATCTTTGGAAGCTACAAGATCCGAGTGAATCAGCTTTCCATTGGAATCAGTAAGCATATTTTGAAGAGCACAATCAGCTTACCAAATGGTATACGCAAAATGCCGCAAATCAACCTCAAAGATATGAGGACGAAAATAAAAACGTTACGAACTTATGGAACGATTTAATAGATAGATCAACAGGTCTTGTATAAGTACCAGTTTAAGAATGCTGACCTGCGTGTCCCCTATAGGCTGGCTAACATGCTTCCACCATTTCGTAACAGCCTTAATTGATTCAAACTTGACATTGGCAAAAGGAGAATTACGAATGTTACCTTTCTGATCGCATTTTTATATGTGAGAGCACTCGAAATTGAAACACGATCGTAAACTTCTCCTATATCTTTTCTCTGACTTTTCGGCGAGACAGCCTTTGGGCAAGTGCTAGCGTATGCAATAGCGCCAGATTCCAATTCGCAGCTCAACTCCTAAATGATTGCTCATTTTTCGTCAACATTAGTGAACCTACCATTTCCGTATAGGGGCCTGCAGGATCGCGAGAGTCGGACGCGCGTACGGCCTTTGCGCCGCGCACGCCTGATATCGCTGGGTCGTAGTCGATTAAGGCTAGATAGGTAAGTTTTTTTTTGTTTTTCTTTACATTTCACGCCTTCTTTTCTTTTCAGACGGTGAGCACATGTTGGTGCGGAGGAGTTTAAGATCTGAATTAAGGTGAGGTGCAGGATTATGCTCAATACGGACTCAATGTTGCAGACCTTCCATGCCTGCTGGTTGAGATGTTGGATTTTCTGTTCTGGCTGCCCTGTTACAGCAAACTGTTCTATTTCTACCGTCTATTCTACCTTATCTTGCATATTGCTTGTGATGATGATGATGATGATGATGACAATGATTATGATTGTGATGACGCGCATGATGCAAGATGAGGTAGAACAGACGTTGCAAATAAAACGGAGTTTCGTAACCGGGCAGGCAGGACGAAAAATCGAACATAATCGGACAGCCAGAACAGAAAACTCAACATTCTTCAAAGCAGGGGTGAAAAGTCCGCAATATTGGCCCGTATTGAGCATAATCCTGCACCTCACCTTAATCTAGATCTTGAACTCCTCTGCACCAACATATGTTCGCCGCCTGAAGAGAAAAGAAGGCGAGAAATGAGAAGAAAAACAAAAAAATCTCACCTATCCAGCCTAAATCGAGTACGACCCAGTGACATACGACGTGCGCGGCGCAATGGCCGTACGCACGTCCGACTCTCGCGATCCTGCAGGACCCTATATTTGTAGCGTTTAGATGACGATTCTGAGCGTTCTTGGATGTCTGTCCTTTTATAAGAAGATCTCTAAACTATATTAAACCAAGAAAAGTAACAGTAACACTGGTTTTTTTACAAAGACACTTTGCTCATTTACACTCCGCCGAGATGTTCATAGCACTTACTCTCTGATTCAACTGACTTGGCGGCTGGGAGGCGGGGCTTCGTTGCTTAATCAATACTAGATATGATCAAAGAGCACCCGCGCGAGAGAGACGCAGACTGCGTAGCGGGCGCGAGGGCCTTAACCAGTTCACAGAGCCCTGCCTTCCAGCCACCAAACCACTTGAATCAAGGGTTACCTGTGCATACTCAGATAAATTCCTCTAAGTTCATCGGTCATTCTTACATTATCCGGGCATTCCTTATTGGGACCTAAAGACAATTTTTTTATCTCTAAGAAGGTAAAGGATACTGCTGTTGAGAATGCCTTTAATTATTTTATGGGCACAATGAAGTACCAAACCGAGTTTTCGCTGTGTTTATCTGTTTTTCTATGCTCGAACAGAGAAGAGGGAGTACTCTACAATTCCCTGATGTATTAAAAGTATCACCACATAAAAACTGCCTTTAACCCGCCATTGCATAGTGAGGGTATTCGAACGCGGGGATGACGTTTTGACAGCATTACTTACTATGAAGAAAATAAAAGAGCATTCTCTACCAGCATTCATGGTGTTGAAGTGAAATTTGCGGTTACTCAATCAGTGATAGACAGAAATAAACGCTAACCTACAGGATAGGTGGTACTGCCATTTATACAACCACCATCATCCTCTTTGGTTTCACCGTCCTTCAACGCTCTGAAACATTATATCATTGTAGAGTGATTTTGCATATGTTCATTTGTATATTAGGGTTAGTTGAGACCCAGTATCCATGTTAGAAAATGTTAGGAAAATCCAATTATTTAAATACTAGAGTGGTCGCAAATGAAAAAAACCACATATTTCATTATTTGAACACTTGGATTTGTGACAAAAGGCATTTTTGAAATATTCGTTCTCCTGACCAGTTCAATTATTGACTTATCCGGATACTCGTATACTTGTAAACATTCTAATATACGATTATCAGATAGAGCTTTTTGCGGTCTCGTGAAATGGGGTCAGACATGTTCCCGGTTGATCGATCATTCAAAGGCTTTCACAAAAAAAAAACGGTTGTCGAGATTTTTACATATTGCAATCCTTTTCGTCCCTGTCAAACTCAAAGGTCCAAAATCGCTTAAAATGCACGAAAATCCCGTTTTTTGAGAGCTCCGTGGAAGCAACGCGGACGAGTTGCGCTTTTTCAGCCTACCCCTCGCCACAGTGGCAGCAGCACCATGGAGGTGAACGCCAAGTTAAGGGACATGTTGAAACGAGTAAGGCACGGGCATACCTTACGCGATTTCGATGCTGCGCGCCTAGTCCACCGGACATATGATCCTGACCCCTGCGCTCAAGTATTCAAGAGAGTGGGTCCCGCCGTATTCGTGCCAGTTAGTAGGGGCGAACGAATCGCCTGCCATCGCGAGCACTTTTTTGACGGGCATACCTATAGTGGCGATATCGCCACGACTTGGCCGAAATTGGGAGAAATCGCGTCGCAGAGTCTGCACCAGCGACGGGCGACATGTCGATCGCTTTCTTTTCTCTGGAGACATTTCGCAAGTTTTTTACCTCAATTTTAACTGATGCACCATGCGAAGGGTGTAGGCCCTTTTGAGCCCTTCACGCGCGATGCCCGTTTTGCCGCGTGCGGCGCCGCTGGCAAAGCTAACAAGTCGCATTCACAGTCAACGGGGAAGGTTCTTAGTTTGAAGCATGTAATATACCTGTGCCAAAACCTGTCATCATGTTGGACACGGAAGATGTAGAAAAATGATGCTCTGTCCTACTCATAGCCTTGTCAATGGTAGCGGACATGTTGACCAATCAGAGGCGTGCCGTGATAGCGAGCGGTTCAAAAGTGCCGTTTTTCCCATGCGAATAGCACCACATGACCTGCACTCCCGCTGCTCACTTGTTTTCACTCACCACTGTGTATTGCATATCTATTTTTTCACTCATCCCTTCTCTTATCCTTTCCACTTTTCCAGCTCTGGATTTACGGAAGCTTTACCAAATTGCCTTGGCAATGGGCCTAAGTGTTTCTTCTTCTTGTTTCTTTGCATTTTTCGTTTCCTTCTCCTTTTCAGAATTTCCTGACTACTTGAAGGTTTATTTCTGTGCACTTGCCTGTTGCTCTACTGATACTACTCTACTTTACGATTGCTGCTAACCTTGGTTTGCATCTCTGACTGCGGCATGTATGGCTAATCTGTCGGCAACTTGCACAACTTGTCGTCAACATGCAATAGCATGAGGCGGCAATGTGATGTCTGCCATCCTTGAGCAATATGTTGTTGCATGTTGCTACATAGCTATACATGCTGCAGTCAGAGATGCAAACAAGTTTAGCAGCAATCGTGTGGACGATGCTGTGGTGGACGCGTCAATAAGCCTAAATAGCGCTGTGAGATTAGTGCATGAAAAGGGAGTGAGAGATGTTAGGGAGCTTCCAGACCGCGCCGAAACCGCGCCGGTTGTCGCTTTTGCAGCCAGTAGCTGCTTTCGCGCCGGTTGCCGCTATCGCAGCTGAAGCGCATTGTGTCAGATTTTGTCCTTGGAGCGTCGCGAGAGCCTATTGTCACTAAATACAAGGCTTTTCGATTCTTTTGCCACCACTCTTCTCCCAGGTCTTCTTTCCGTAATTATTGGAGGTTATACGATGCTGGAATAGTCGACTTATTGTCGAATATTCAATCTACCTCCCGCTGTAGAGTTGTTTTGTGCAAAAGGTGATGAACGGCGTTTTGTCTTTCATTCGTTTCAAGGCTATTCTTTTACGGTAGTTGATCGATTTCGTAGAGCAAAGTTTCTTTGAATTTGTCTCTAGTTTTGAAGCTATGCTACTTACATTAAGGACATCGGGTTGCAGATTTTCCCTGAATGTAAGTGTGAACTTGTTGGAACTTTATGCGGCATTGTTTTTCGTACTCTTTCGTTAACTTTACCATTAAAATCAGGGGAAGCCCGCAACCCGCACCACACAAATCTGGGAGCTAATAAATCTTTGCGGAACGCTATTTTTTTGCACAGCTTTCGTTTTGATGATATTGCTCTGCTGTGCAGACAAGATTTCTCGATGTCTTTACCGATTTGAGGTTGGTCTGCTGAGTGGACAATATCATCGCAAAATGCTGTTTTTAGCACTTCTAATTTTAAAGCTACTCTACGATACTGCTTGAGTACACTTACTGATATAAGTTTAACTACTCAAGGTTAGCTATTATGCTGAAGTAAAGATATATACCTTGAGTGGAGAAGGAGAAGGCACCAAATGACTTTGCTTTGAAATAGAGTTAGTCAGCGTAGTGAAGTACTAAAAGCAAAACAGTACAGAGAATTTGAGTTCTGCAGCTAGATCGCTGCTACGGCACGATAGAACAGCTTCAAAAACAAAGAAAGTACTTTCGCACTCGCTCATCCAGCATAGTAAACCAGTTTCAAAACGAGATAGACGTCGAAAAGGCCTTGCCTTGCAATCCAGCAATAGCTCTATAGCGGGATTTAGACTAAAAGGGTTTCACTCGACAATGAATCGATATTTTCAGCATCGTAGACAACCGAAAAAAAGGAATTCAGATCAAATGAACCATATCTGCAATGAATTACTACAGCAAAGAAGAGAACTTTGGAAACAAAAGAGTGATGACGAAGAAATCGAAAAGCCTAGCATCTAGTGCCAATAGGCTACGCTCCAAGGACAAAATCTGACACAGTGCGCTTCAGCTGCAATAGCGGCAACCGGCGCGAAAGCAGCTACCGGCTGCAAAAGCGACAACCGGCGCGGTCCCGGCGCGGTCTGGAGGCTCCCTTAGACGAATTCAAAAACTCGATAAGGCTTGCGTTCATTTGGGCGTTACGTGTGAGCTACGAGTTTATACCAAATTTCAGTTTAATGAGAAATTAAGAAATTACGCTTGGCTCTCCCCAGTTTGGACACAGCTGTCGGTACAATGCCTATTGTGCTGACATCAAGGAATTGGTATGAGCGCCTCTACATCTACTAAGTAAAAACCGTTACTCTCACTTTCCTTTTTCGCGTCCAGTTAGCTGAATG